AACTCAATATGAAGTCCATGTAGGTGTTAAGTAGTAACACGTAAAGTAGTAACCATGTAAGTAGACTTATTAGAGACGACATTGCCGGGCAGCAGAGGCTCAGAGAACAAGGTGAGGGACCTAATTAACCTATAAAGGTGGGGGAATAACGGGAGCGACTTTTTTTTAAAATCAGTTGCCAATGTACTAATACAAGTTAAATGTTTCATAATCGGCGGTAAATTGCAAGCCGTGTTGCACGTAAGGCGCAGACGCACCCGTCCCTTACCGCAGCACATGTGCAATGGAGCGGCAGTTCTATTCGCTGTCAGCGTGCGTAGGTTCCCAAGCCACGCGGTGTGCTGTGTGATTGACTTACTTTCCATTGCCGTGCGAGAATTTTTTCGCGTGATCGTTTCTCTGTGCGTGCGTGCAGCGGCACGGTGGTGAGGGATGGACGCTCATCGTTTGAAGTTAATCACCGACAAGGATCTCGCTTCATCGATGTGTTATCAGGATTCTCTGCAAGAAAGCTGCAACGATGCTGTTCTGATATGCTCTACACTAGCAGTTCCTGTAGAGGATTTTCTTCATAGGAGGTCTACAGTCTATATATATATAGATGGCCCCCGTCAAATAGGTGTCTCGTGCTGTTATGCTGTTATTGTGGCAATAATGAATTGGTAATCAATATATATAATAATATATAAGCTGATCATTCATCGTCACAGACGATCCGTGTAGCGCTCAAGCGTCTGCGTATTGTAGTCGACGCGCTCACTGTAGTCGAGTACCAACGGGAGATCGCTCGCCCGTAATGGATTGTGAGCAACCATTCAGTCTTACACTGCCTACACAACGTCTAAATATAAATGTCGCACACGCTCCCTCCATAGTTGAAAACAGCTCTATCGAAAAGAAACTGGATCCTTGAAAAAAAAACGACCTCAAACTATTTGTTGTCCAGGTTATTGCTTGCGTCGCAAGTAGTTTTTTTTACACGGATTGTGCGGCGTTCTCGGTGTGGTAATAATGCGCAATGCTGTTGGCATTAATAAATAACAGAAGAATAACACAATGCACGAAAGCCCGTGCGTTTCCCATCGGTTTATCGAAGACCCGTGACTTTTTTATGGCGAAAAGTTCAAGGCTTCGCGTGTGAGCCAAACTAGATTTGTGTTAGCTTTAAATGGCATGCCTTAACTGCCAAGATTACCTATATACCAACTATGATTGTAATATATTATTTAATTAA